TCCATGCTTGTTCGTGTTCTTTGATTCTCTGTGTGAATTTACGGCCTGTTTGTCCTATGTATATGGCCTGACAATATCTCTATTTATTTATCAAAATATAAAAGGTATCTACTTCACCAACAATCCAATTAGATATATAATTTTAGATTGTCAAAACTTCAGTATTCTTGTTGTTTGCGAATAATATTAATGGCCTCACGTGTCTACAACAGCGTTTATAGTTTCCAAATATATACTGTCCCACTGCCAGAGGTTAAGTCGACATTGGAAACTTAAAAAGAAAAACACTTTCTTTGAAAATCAATTATTTTCAGGCCAAAATGGTAAAGGCACTATTGTTAACATTATGAGAAACACGAAGAACTTTTTTTTTTTGCAAGATTGAACCGTATAATGTGTTAGGGGCGCTGCAACAGCTACGAGAACTGAGACTCGTGAGTGATGCTCTACCGAGTAAATAATCAGGTGAATACTACTGGAGATGTAAATGAAAGGCATTAGACTCTCAAGACTTTTGTTCACCACAAATCGCACGTATATCGACCGGGATATGAACCTGCGTCCCTACGGCAGGAGGTGTAGACGTATACCATGACGCTAAGAGCGGCGTTTGGCTTCTCGGCGCTTGTTTCAATACGAATCGTCACCAGGTCATCCCATCAGATCTTCTCTACCCATCAATCACTCGCGAGATCACCTTCCCAGGGGACAGCAAGGATTTACAAAAAAAAGAAGGGAAGACATTCAGAAGAGGTGTGCGCCAGACGTTATGGAAGTCGAGAGTTAAACGAGGAACTACAAAGAAACGACGGAGAGCAGACAGGCAACCAAAGGGCTGCCCAGCGGCGAGATCAATGAATTAGGAGTCGACTAGGGAGAGTTTGAGGGTTAAAAGAATCGAGTCACGCTGTTGCGTCCACCAAATACGCGAGTCACGGGATAACAGTGAGGTAGAAAACAATGTCTATAAGATTTGACTAATGGTCTTGCGGTGCACAAAGGAGCTGAAATACTGATTAATTGATTTTGTTACACAAATCTATATTAAAAAGTGGCCTCTACCATGAGTTGGAATTATATCACGTGACACAAGAATAAAATATTACTGCGAAAATTCGTTACAATTACCTCGTAATGATTATGCCACATTAAGAAAACTAATTAATTTATTTCTAGATTTAATCCGAAAAATCTACGTGACTCCTGTAGGTGCACAAACGATTTGTCATTGATGCTGAATTGTGTGTGAATAACATTGTTAGCACCATGCCAAATCCTAGGATATATGATTTAATATTTTCCTGATCCATTCAGCAAATGCTGAGATGGCCCCTTGTTTTACATCTGGACATAAATGAAGCTTCACTATGCTCATATTTGGCGAGCTCATCTTTTGCAGAGTAGAAATGGATTGATATTGTGTTAGCAATAGGCTGATTATAAAATCAAACCTGGAGTACGTTTACCGATTCGCAGAAATTTTCTATAACTTTGGAGCGAAAATGATAAGTTTCCCAATGCTAATTTTTCTTTCTTGCAACATTTGCCATCGTTGAACGTCGTACAGTAATAGGGTGAAGAAGACACACGGTTCTTCTCAAGAAATCGAGCATAGTTGTATTTCTCCACGATACGTCACACCGTTTTTACTATTTCATGACGAAAATAAATGAAATAAAGTAAAACACCTCGAGCACAGACGGTTCGTTCCCCCTCAGCCACAGACGTTTATGCGAAAAAGTATCATACTTTTTTAAAAGCTGAATGTTTACTCGAAAATGAGGTTTAAATTCGTCGACTTTTTCCCTTGTATGAGTATGTCTTCTTAAACCCTGTAAAACATGTTTTTTCTTTAATATTCTCTCTTTAGAGTATTTTAGAAGGATCCGCATCAAAAGAGTTCCACTTGCAAGCACTCCACCCAGATCGGAGCGTCGGTTGCTGACGGAGCGCGGCAACAGCGGCATAGCGAGGTTGAAGTCGCCCCCGTGTTTGCTGGATGGCAGTTCTCCCGACCGGTTCCTGTTCTGATTCGGCAGTGGTTTCGTCAACGAGCCATGGATCGAACTCCTCCTTCCTTCCTTCCTTCCTTCCTTCCTTCCTTCCGTTTCCTCTCCTTCCTTACAGCTGGACCGGGTGTTGATCTTCAGCTGTCAAAGGATTTCCATCAGGATTACCATCAGGATTACCATCAGGATTTCCATCAGGATTTCCATTAGGATTTCCATAAGGATTTCCATAAGGATTTCCATCAGGATGTCCATCAGGATGTCCATCAGGATTTCCATCAGGATTTCCATCAGGATTTCCATCAGGATTTCCATCAAGATTTCCATCAGGATTTCCATCAGGATTTCCATCAGGATTTCCATCAGGATTTCCATCAGGATTTCCATCAGGATTTGCATAAGGATTTCCATCAGGATTTCCATCAGGATTTTTAGAAAGACTTCGTCATTGCTAAGAGTATGCGGACGCTAGACGAGCGGATAGGAGGGAGAGGCATAGATAGAGAAAAAAGGTTTTAATTATCGTATGGATCGAATGCGGGGAGACCACGATATACTATTCATTCGCAGCAAAGTTACTTGTGTCTGCCACATGATAGCGCTTTCTAAACCGCTAGGTGAATTCGAGATTAATGAGGAGCACTAAGTGAAATTGATGATGCATGTTGACGATGAGCTGGTAGGCGGGGGGAAATGTAAGGCGGGGGAAACGGGGGAATCCCGATAAAGCCAGCTGCGAACCTGTTTTGCCACCCACATTCCACAAGGAGGGAGCGGGGTTTGAACCCTGCCGCACAGAAGTGGTTGGCGACGATCTGGCTTTTGCAGCACGGGTCGCTCAGAGACACAGAAACACAGACGGAGAGAGGAAGAAATAGAGACACAGAAATAGAGAGAGAGTCAGAGAGAGACAGCAAATAGTCAAAATAGAGTGAGACAAAAAGAGAGAGGAGAGAGAGGAGACAGAGAGAGGAGAGAGAGGAGACAGAGAGAGGAGAGAGAGGAGAGATAGGAGAGAGAGAGGAGAGAGAGAGGAGAGAGAGAGGAGAGAGAGAGAGGAGAGAGAGAGAAGAGAGAGGAGAGAAAGGAGAGCAGGAGAAGAGATAGGAGAAGAGAGAAGAGAGAGAAGAGAGAGGAGAGAGAGGGAAGAAGGAAGAGAAGAGGAGGAGAGAGGAAGAGAGAGGAGTAGAAGAGAGAGAGAGAGGAGAAGAGAGGAAGAGAGAGGAGAGAGAGGAGACGAAGGGAAAGAGAGGAGAAGAAGGAGGAGCGAGAGGAAGAAGAGAGGACGCAAGAGAGAGGAGAGAGAGGAGAAGAGAGGAGAAGAGAGAAGAGAGGAGAGAGAAGGAGAGAGAGAGGAGAGAGAGAGGAGAGAGAGAGGAAGAGAGAGAGGAAGAGAGGAGAGGAGAGAGGAGAGAGAGGAAGAGAGGGAGAGAGAAGAGAAAGAGAGAGAGAGAGGAGAGAGGAGAGAGAGGAGAGAGAAAAGAGAGAGAAGAGAGAGAGAGAGTGACAGAGCGCCCCCACCACACGAGAGGCACGAGCACGAGAGCCACCACCAGCCACGGCACAAGCGAGAGTGAGGAAGAGGAAGAGGAGAGAGAAGAAGAGAGGGAGAAGAGAGAGGAGAGAGAGAAGAGAGAGGAGAGAGAGGAGAGAGAGGAGAGAGAGAGGAGAGAGGAGAGACAGGAGAGAGAGAGGTGAGAGTGAGGAGAGAGGAGAGAGAGAGGTGAGAGAGAGGAGAGAGAGAGGTGAGAGGTCCACGCAGGCGATGTGCAAGCAGGAAGAGGCGAGGGCGGGACAGGAGGAGGTGGGGGTGGAGGTTGGGAGTGTGTGAAGAGCCAGGTTCAACTTCGTTCGCAAAGAAGGAATGGTGACGCCGATAGTCTGGGAGCAGAGATGGGGAGCGGGAAGGCAGGAAGAAGAGAAAAAATCGGCCGTTTTCTTCTAGAGGCGCTTGGAAGAGTCCGGACGACGCCCATTCGGCGCGAGCGGCGCGCAGTTAGTGCCTCGAGGGGCGGCGTCAAACAAAGAGCGAGGTGGCGTCCGTCATCTCCTGCCTTCCCTTGAGCGAGGGCATCGGACGAGTCCCTGTCACGAAGTTTGTACTTATTTAATCAATTCATAATCTTAAATCCTTCTCAAACTAATTCATGCAGCTCTCAGATGGTTAATTTTTACATCATCGACGATTTATACACATTATTACATTATAAGTTCTTGAAATTATGTCTGATAATGTTTCTTCAAAACTAAAAACTTTCCTGTTAAAATGAGCGCAAAATAGCAGAGGTTTAGAAACACTCGAATGACATTTTCTCAGAAAACGGCTACAGATTTTTCAACGCAAAATTGAATTTTGGACCAATTTTTACTCTTCTGGACTTAGTATTCTTAAAGTCATATTTTAGATCTACCATTAGGAGACCGAAAGAGGAAGCAAAACTGAATATCTAGTCCAGAGTAAAGTGATTAGAAAACTAACTAGTACGAGAAAGTCTGTGCAATTTCATATCTTTGTCACTGTTATGATATAATATCAGTGTCAACCGGAACCAGTGGCTAATTAAGGCACAACTACCTGGTCCGTTATTAGATAACCGCAGAAGTGAAAATATGTGAAGAATACATTTTCTAATCTATGATGGCTAAGATAGTGTTAATGATATATTATAATTCACTCAATATTTCCCACATCGCAACTACAATTAAATGAGTATTTCGAGTTTGCGGGCGCGTCAGCTGCTATGGTCTTCATTTCCGTAATAGTAGTGAAAGTTACATCAAGGCCGGTTATTAAAGTTCCTTGTCCTCTGGAAAATTAGATCTGACGGTCACCTTCACGTTGCCTTGTATGGGTTTCCCCATCCACGTATCTTCCCCATCGGAGCGACACACCAGTTCGGAACCGGTTCTAAGCTCCTGATATTAGTGTCGAAGCGCTTGTAAGTACATGTGGGTGTAAGGTAACACAGACAATAAAGAAAGGAATAATCGCGCGCGGACCGTGGTTCGTTTGTTAAAGAACGTCTCCTGTATTCCGTCATAGATCGGAAAAACTACAGAAAACTACAAATCAGAAGAGCCGCCACTTTGATTCTTCTCCTCCGGTTGAATTCGGTCCAGCTGTTGTCGTGTAGCTATTGTCGAAACCCGCCACCAGCAGAACTCCAACCCTAGGACTTCCGGTCGATGCTGCACAGTGAACCGCTGAGCCATCGCGGGCCTAAGAAAAATGTCGGTGCAAGTGTTGTAAAGAAGAGGAATATATGCAAGCGATTGCTGTTTAAGTTACATCTCATTCGAGATGGTGACATCCGAAAAACCCAGATGGGAAATAACGAAAAAAAAGGAATACATTGAAATGTTAATGACATAAATGCGTCACCTCAAGACAAAAATGAGCAGTAAAATATGCTCACAATACTGTTTCTATGTTTCATATTTTTATAAGTTAAAAAAAATGGGCACCCGTCTCGGTCAGACCACCGATGAGATCCCACGGAATTCAAAGCTCAGTCGACAGCTGAATTTGTGGTAAATTTGATAGGATGTGGCTTTCAATAGGTTTTTCGGAGATTTACTCTTTACACTATAATTTGATCATGATGCATATACTTTCAAAAACACCTGTTCAAAATCACTCCTCCAATCCAGGTACGGAACGAAGGTTTAGGGCTAAAACCTCAGGCACACGCATCCTAAAAAAGTGGCTCATAAAGAGATACAATTAAATTACTAAAAATAAAACTAATAATATTTCACTTTGAAATGTATTTTTTTAAACGTAATGCTAAAAACGCCAAAAATATGTGTGGTCCGGCGTGCACATATTTCAACTCAAGTCGTTCTAAGTGGCGACGAACCCACTGACCGTCGAGTTGAACTCGCAAAATCCCCACCTCCGAAAGTTGCCATCGCTCTCAGCACGCACCTGACGTTTGGACAGGGTGATGGAAGGCGGGGAGGGGAGGGGAGGGGAGGGGCACACATCTATTTACCCCGACAGATGGCTCTGTGAAAAGGAAGACGTTACGCCTTTGAATCATCACGCGCGCACGGCACGCACCCACGACTGACTGACTGACACACCCTCCGAAGTGTTTTCCTTTGATGGAGCTTTCACCCTCGCAGGACACGCTTCGCGCGCCGCGCCCAGCGCCAAACGCTTTCGACGCGGGCGGAGAAGGCTGCCACGACGCCGGCAGAGGTGGAGGCGGCGGTGGTAGACATGCATTCGCAGCAAAGTTACTTGTGTCGCACATGAATAGCGCCTTCTAAACCGCTAGGTGAATTCGGATTAATGAGGAGCACTAAGTGAAATTGAATGATTGCCAAATGTGAGACCGAATGAGCTGGTAGGGGGGGAAATGTAAGGGCCGGGGGATAACGGGGGAACCGATAAACACTGCGAACCTGTTTTGGCCACACACATTCCACAAGGAGGGAGCGGGGTTGGAAACGCCTGCCGCACAGAAGTGGTTGGCGACGAGCTGGCTTTGCAGCACGGGTCGCTCAGAGACACAGAAACACAGACGGAGAGAGGAAGAAATAGAGACACAGAAATAGAGAGAGAGTCAAAAGAGAGACAGCAAATAGTCAAAAAGAAGTGAGACAAAAGAGAAGGAGAGAGAGGAGACAGAGAGAGGAAGAGAGAGGAGGACAGAGAGAGGAGAGAAGAGGAGAGATAGGAGAGTAGAGAGGAAGAGAGAGGAGAGAGAGAGGAGAGAGAGAGAGGAGAGAGAGAGAAGAGAGAGGAGAGAAAGGAGAGCAGGAGAAGAGATAGGAGAAGAGAGAAGAGAGAGAAGAGAGAGGAGAGAGAGGGAAGAAGGAAGAGAAGAGGAGGAGAGAGGAAGAGAGAGGAGTAGAAGAGAGAGAGAGAGGAGAAGAGAGGAAGAGAGAGGAGAGAGAGGAGACGAAGGGAAAGAGAGGAGAAGAAGGAGGAGCGAGAGGAAGAAGAGAGGACGCAAGAGAGAGGAGAGAGAGGAGAAGAGAGGAGAAGAGAGAAGAGAGGAGAGAGAAGGAGAGAGAGAGGAGAGAGAGAGGAGAGAGAGAGGAAGAGAGAGAGGAAGAGAGGAGAGGAGAGAGGAGAGAGAGGAAGAGAGGGAGAGAGAAGAGAAAGAGAGAGAGAGAGGAGAGAGGAGAGAGAGGAGAGAGAAAAGAGAGAGAAGAGAGAGAGAGAGTGACAGAGCGCCCCCACCACACGAGAGGCACGAGCACGAGAGCCACCACCAGCCACGGCACAAGCGAGAGTGAGGAAGAGGAAGAGGAGAGAGAAGAAGAGAGGGAGAAGAGAGGAGAGAAGAGAGGAGAGAGAGGAAAGAGAGAGAGAGGAGAGAGAGAAGAGAGAGGAGAGAGAGGAGAGAGAGAAGAGGAAGAGGAAGAGGAGAGACTAGGAGAGAGAGAGGTGAATGAGAGAGAGGAGGAGAGAGTGAGAGAGAGAGAG